GGGCGCGACACTGAGGGTTGTGATCTGTTGCTGGACACGAAAAAAGACAAAAAGGGAAAAAAAAAAACAAAACATTTTCATTATTCCAAAAAGACATGCAATATTCATTAGTAGTCACTCCTCATTCTCCCAAATCCTTTCAACCCTGGTAAGAATTACTTTTAAAGATTTTTTTTTTTAGTGGCGTGTTAAAGCAATTAATGCCCATGTATAATTCAGTACCTTTCTTATTAGCACTCTTCCTTTTATCTGATCACATCTATGCCTTATTTCATATGCAATGTAACTTCTGAGACTTATGCAAGTGAGGTTATAGGGTAAAGAGTCTTTTTGTTCTTTAAAAATGTACCTGAATTATAAAACCAAATGAGTAATTTATAGCCACTGGTTAGTCTTCAAGATATCTCATTTCCTGACAATGTTGATATTTAAAATATCATTGGAACTCCGTTTGGATTTATTGTATCTTCAGACATAGCTTAAGGCTTGCAAGAAAAGCCTTTCGGTGCCTTATAATCACATATAGTGGTGCTTGATTTGGGGTTTAAGGCTAATTTTTCATCAAGCCACTGCTAAGACTATGGTGCCTTTGTTTTGCCTTGTTTGTTTAAAATATTTTTTTACAGCTTTATTGAGATAATTGTACATACTATAAAATTCACCCATTTAAAGTATATGGTACATTGGTTTTTTGTAAATTCACAGAGTTGTGTAGCCATCACCACTATCTAAGTTTAGAATATCTTTACCATCTCCAGAAAAAGAAACACTGTGCACATCAGCATTCATTCCCCATTCCCTGGATGTCTCCTGCCCAGTCCTAGCCCCAGGCAAACAACTAATCTACTCTCTATCTCTATCAGTTTGCCTATTTTACTTTATTATTATTATTATTTTTTTAAAGATGACCGGTAAGGGGATCTTAACCCTTGACTTGGTGTTGTCAGTACCACGCTCTCCCAAGTGAGCTAACCCGGCCATCCCTATATAGGGATCCGAACCCGTGGCCTTGGCGTTATCAGCATCACGCTTTCCCAAGTGAGCCACGGGCTGGCCCCAATTTGCCTATTTCAGACAAAACATATAAATGGAATCATTCAATATGTGTATTTTGAGACTGGCTTCTTACACTTAGTACAATGTTTTCAAGTTTTATCAATATTGTAACGTATCAATATTTCATTCCTCTTCATTGCTAACTAATAAGCTATTGTATGGAATTTCTTTAGCCATTCATCAGTACGTGGATATTTGAATTTTTTCCACTTTTTTGGCTGTTATGAATAATGCTACTTTGAACATGCACATGCAAGTTTTTGTGTGTATGTATGCTTTTATTTCTCTTGAGAGAAGAATTGCTGGCTCATATGGTAAATCTATATTTAACATTTTGCAGAACTGCCAACCTGTTTTCCAAAGAAGCTACACCATTTTATACTTATATTTCCATGACCATGTATGAGTTTTCCTGTTTCTTTACATATTCACCAACACTTGTTACTGTGGTTTTTATTTTAGCCTCCCTAGTGGGTGTTAAGTGATATCTCATTGCAGTTTTGATTTGCATACTCCTAATGACTAATGATGTTGAGCACCTTTTCATGTGCTTATCAACCATTTTTGTCTACTTTGGAGAAGTGTCTGTTAAATCGTTTGCCTTTTTTTTTTCTCATTTTTTAATTGGAATTCTTTATTGTTATTGAATTGTAAGTGTGTGTATACACCCCCCCAAACACACACACACACACACACTTACACTGTGGATACAAATCACTTTTCAAATATACAAATTGCAAATATTTTTCCCATTCTGTGAGTTGTCTGTCATTTTCTTTTGGCTTTGCTTTGCTTTTGTTCTCAGTTTAAACAGAAAAGTTGCCCTCCTGGTGCTCCTGATTTGTTCTCCCCAGTCCTAAAAATACTGCTTTTCTCTCAGAGCTGAAAAGTCAGAAGGGGGGTTGTAATTAGTATATCTCTTTCCATTAATTTTCCCCACTAAAATCAACTATTTTTCTTCTTATGTTTGACTGTAGGGGAAAAAATATTATTAGTAAATTTCTCCTTCACTTATTTTTTTGTTTTCCTCTTCTGCTCAGAAAAGTAAAAAAGTAATGCCATGTACATTATACCTACCAATATCTGGTAAAGTTAATGACTTAACAATGTTGCTCCTGTCAGTGACCTGGGGACATGGGATACCTAATGGTTAGGAATCCAAAATATGGAGCCAGAAGGCTGGTACCCCATACAGGCATAGAGAGCCTCACTGCTTACCCAGAGCCCCTTATTGCTGCCATGAGAGTAATTATACCTAATTTCAGAGGTAATAAATTGTCAGGCTAAAATGAGATAAAACCTATGTGTTTATTAGCACAGGTACCTGGCACATAGTATGTCCTCAAAGATAGCCATTATCATCATATTAGAAAGATTTCTTGAAGAAACTTATTTTAACAAAACATTTTGAACAAATTTTACGTGCAGTTTTTTGTTTGTTTGTTTAGTTTTTATTGAATCAAAATTGATTATACATATTTTGGGGATTCAACATTGAGATATGTTGATCAAATCAATATTACTAGCATATGTATTGTTACAAATTGCCCTTGTTATGCCCCTTGTCCAATCTCTCCCCATCATCCTCTCCCTCCCGCCTCCCCCACAATTACCCTAGATTTCTTCTCTCCTTCTGAAAGAATAATGGTTACTCTGTTGATTTGTTGCCTACATGATCTGTTCAATGCTGAGAGGTGTGGTCAGGTCCCCCAATATTGTCATAGAGCAGATGCTTCTTCTGTCACTATGAAATGGGCTTTGTGGAGAGAGACATCCTCTTCTTTATCTCTGTTGTTGATGCTCCTTGTGTCAGTGCACTCCAGTGGCTGGCAGACCATCTGCATGATGGTTGTGGTGTCTTAACCACTTTTGGGGCAGCCATATTTATTGTGGTGGCTGTGGTGGGCCACCCACATGGAGGAGATATTATTAGCATGCTCTTTGGCACTAGTAGTGTGCTTGGTTGTGGGGAGTGTCTGGTTCCCAGTGCCATACCTCGGGTTCCTGGGTGGGCCCTGAGGCACTGGTGGTGTGCCTGGTTGTGTGTGGGGGGTCCAGTCCCCAGCTCTGTGCCCTGGGCCCCTGGGCAGGGACCTGAGGCACTGGTGGTGTGTCTGGTTGTGGGGGAGGGGGGTCCGGTCCCCTTCTCCATGCCTTGTGTCCCTGGGCAGGCCCCGAGGCGCTGGTACAGTGTGCCTGGTTGTTGGAGGGGGGTGTCTGGTCCCCAGATCCATGCTCAGGTCCCTGGCTGGGCCCCAAGGCACTGGCATGTTGTGCCTGGTTGTGGGAGGGGGATCCAGTCCCCAAATCTATGCCCCAGGCCCCCAGGTGGCACCCTGAGGTGCTGGCACAATGTGCCTGATTGTGGGGGCGGGGGATCCAGTCCCCGGCTCAATGCCTCATGTCCCCTGGTGGGCCCCAAGGTGCTGGTGGTGTGCCTTGACTGGAACTAATTTTTTTGTCCTTTGCTTACTTCTAAAACAGGAACTTTCTGTGGGAACCAGTACTTGAGCTGTGTGGTTGAGCTAAATTGCTGCTTTGCTGTTGTTTCCCTAGGGAAGGCTTTTTGTGCGGCTCAGGGTTTAATGGTAGGGTTTATAGGTACTTCCAGCTCTCCAGAGACCTGGTGCACCTGGGTTGTGTAGAAACTCTGATCTGGACCTGAGTTTTTTCATCGAACTGCACCCCATGCAATTCTGCATTCCCGATCAGTCCCTCTGAGTGGTCCTGTGCTGACTTGGGGGCAGATCAGCTGTCCTTGTTGTGCCCCGGTGTTCTCCGGGTGGGCCCATCTCCCCCACTGCCCATGCTCCAAACAGTTCTCATGGGATGTGCCATGTGCTGGTCCCTTGCAATGACTCACCGGCCTCTGAGTGGCTCCCCTTTTACAGCTGTTCTGGCTCCTCCTGCGTGGGTCCACAGGAACCCTATTAGTGGTCTTGCTGTCCTGAGGGCCACCAAGGCTCTCTTCTCCCCTGCCACCTCCAAGTAACTCCATCTGAAGGGCACAGCTGTGGCTTCTGCCAGCTCCTGCTCCACGCCTCAGCAGCTAGAGCCTTAAAGCAGCAGCAGCCCGAAACGCTCAGAGGAGTTTTCTCTTTTTCTCATTGTGGTTTCTCCTGCCTTCATGTACTCCATAGGTCTCTCCTCCTTTTCCCCTGGGATCCAGTGGCCCCAGCTTGGCTGATGTTACATTTTTATAGTTGTAAATTGGTTGATTTGTGGGAGGGAATGACGCTGAGGACCGTTTATTCCACCATCTTGACCAGAACTTCTTACATACAGATTTATATTGGTTTCAGTAAAATATAATAATACAATATTGCCTGTATACAATTTGGATGTCTTAGGAATTTTTAAGGGGATTTCTCTATATATCACTTCTAATAAGCATACAAACAGTTTAAAAGTTAAATTTCTTCTCTTGAAAAGTGAAGCTTTTAGAACATGAATGAGTATAGCTACAACACACTGAGCACCTACAGGATGGAAATGTATTTTATATTTAGTGCGTAACACAATGCCAGACATATATTAGGAACTATAAATGTTGCATAACCTATAATGGCACTATAAATAAGTGCACTTAAAAATACTATAATAACTATTTTATAGAAAGTAAGATCTTCACTTTATAATTTCTATTTTCTTTCTACGTTTTGGATTTATAACTCAAGACAGGAAATAATTACAAATATATGTAGTTGTTGTTAGATCAAATCGCATTAAACAAAACTCAAGTAGCTATTATAGTTTTTTAGATATTCTGAAATTATGTTATGTTCACTATGGCTTGAAATAAATGAGCATTTGCTATGATAAGACTCAAAAGTCATTTTTCAGAGTTTTTTTTTTAATTTCTCACTTCATATTTAATGTTTAAAAGCATTTTACAAAGAATAATGTCAAATATACTAGGATAAGCTCACTAACATAATTTGTGTAATAAATCTGCTTCTAATGTGAAGAACTATTCTGTAATGTAAGTAATTATCACCTGTGAGAATTTTGGAAGTCTAGGTTTTTACCTATTGGAGTTTTAGTAAAGTTTGACCTATTATTTGATTTTCAGGTGCTCTTTCACTGGGTTGCTACCCACCATTGGAGGGAAATTTATACCGAAAACTTCTACTGATTCCTTCTTATTTATCTGAGATTGAAATGCTTTTAGCTATTGAAATCTTCCTGGTATCTAATGCTAGCAGCATTCAGAGTCCTGGAACTTCAACACAGATGCTGCAGATAGTTTTGAAAAGGTTAGTTGATATAACTTTAACTGCATTCTGAATGCAGTTAAAGATCGTGGCTTCCCACACTTTCCCTAGGATGTAAATGTTTTATGTATTTACAAACACATGCGCGCGCACAAGAATACTTCAAAAAACTCAAGGAAATGGAATTAAAAGATAATATGAATCTTTCCATGAAATTTGTGAAGACCCATCGCATGAGTGTATTTATTTATTTGTATCTATATAAATTTACGTATATACTGTGGGTCCATTAAAAACTTTGGTAATATTTACATGGAGAAAGGTTTAGACTTGTTTGATGCTTGAAATCAAATAAGTTGGTAGCATTCAGTAAACACTTTAGCAGTTTCAAAGATGTTATTAGATGTTCAAATGTGGGTCCTCTTTAGGTATTGACCTTTCTTGTGTTTAGATATCAGTACCTAAAAGGTCTTTTTCTTTTTGATCAACCCAAAGGATCTAGGGAATAGGTCTAAAAGGGAAATATATGATAGTTTATACATTCAGTCAAGAACACTGTTGAAAATAAAGCCATCAGCCTAGTTTCTATATTTTAAAATGTTGTTATACATGCATAAATATTACAATGTAGCTGTTGGACCAGAGTGACATCCTTTCAAATAATTTTGTTTAAAATCGCAGAATTTAAATTTATATTACTTCACTTTCTTGTTGGCCTTATCCAAGAAACTTGCAATATAAGGATCTCATGGGACAGTTGTTTTAGAGCTTCTTGGCAAGAAGTTTGCTTTAGTTTACTGATGTTATAAGCCAGATCCTCAGATTGGATATCAAGTCAATTATCTATTACTGTATAATAAATTACTCCCAAACCTAGTGGCTTAAAACAGCAAATATTATCTTAGTTTCTGTGAGTCAGAAATTTTGGAGCAGTTTAGCTGGATAGTTCTAGCTCAGGGTCTTTCATGTTGCTCAGTTTTTCACATAGGGTCAGGATGTTGTCAGGAGCTGCAGTCACCTATGTGATAGCTTGACTGGGGCTGGAGGATCCCTTTTCTTGATGGTTCACTCAAATGCCTGGTAGGTGGAATCCTCGTTTTGCCACATAGGACCCTCCATAGGTTGCTCGAGTGTCTTCACAACACGATAGCTAACTTCTCCCAGAGTAAGTGACCCAGGAGAAAAAAACCAAGGAGGGAGCTGCAATGCCTTTTGTGACCTATATCAAATAAGAACTGTGAAGGATCTGAAATTTTACCTTTTTTGCAAGCTGCAAGTTAGCCTGCCACAGTTTCATGGATGCTAGCATAAGACACAAGATTCTCCTGTATTAGAGACAGAGGATTTTATTACTTGTGGTATAGCAGATAGCCTGGTTACCTGTATATTTGCATCATTTCCTCTTCTTCCTAAGTCTCACAGATGAGCCCACATGGATACCTGTATATGCAGTGGGTTCTAATACAGGTGAGAAGTCCTGAGCTTAAGGAACCCAAATCTTTCCTCTGCAAGGAGATACTATTTCCATATTCTAAAGATTGTAAGCAAGCCTGCCTTTTGCTTCAGAAGGAGAAACTGTTTTTGTCTTTCAGTGTTGTTCAATATATAAACATCCTTGAAATTTGGAATAAGGTGTAGTCAGGGTTTCTGGAAAAATTCCAGAAATCCAAGATACCCATGGAGAATTGTCATCCAACAACATACTATCCAAAGTTGTACACTGTCATTTCTGCTCTCCTATATGTTATAGGTGAGTCATTTAGTCCAGCCCACACTTAAGGGGAGAGGAATTAGGAAATAATTTATTTTAGTTCCACCTTTTTAAAAAACCCACTAAAATTAGCCTTTTTTCATATAGCTCCATTTTTTTCTGAGGACTTCTTTATTTACCACTGTGCACAATAGTGGCATGATGCCTCTGGGCTCCCCATCATCCTATAATTTCCATTCCCCACACATATACAGCCTCTTTATTTATTGTTGAATTTGGGAGGTGTCTGTGACCACTAGTGCATAACTAGTGGCCTAACTAGTGATGTACCTAGATGTTTGTTTTGTCCAAGCTAATACTAGTATTTTTTCTCTATTAGTATTATCATATTGAGCCCTGCCTTGTTACATTAACCTGTATGTGAGAGAATTGTATTCATCTTTAGACTTTCCAAAACTGCACATAGTTATCATGTGCCCAATCTACGATTCCAGGGCACCTCTTTCTAAGCTAGAATGTACTAGAAGACACATGGCCAGTCTTGCCCCTTTGTGACCACTGGCTCCTGTTTCAAGGGCAAGTCCTCACTCCCATCACTCTGTGGATCACACTGGGGTGTTGATGCAGGTAAATTCAAATTCAGAACTTGCTGCTGGGCCCTTTAGGTACTGTATTAGTCTGTTTCTGTTACTTTTAACGGAATACCTGAAAGTGGGTAATTTATGAAGAAACAGAATTTATTCTGTTACAGTTTCGGAGGCTGGGAAGTCCAGGGTCCAGGGAAATATGGTGAGAACTTTGGTGGTGGCTCTACAGCAACACAAGGTATCACATGGTGAGAACAGCAGGAGCAGGAGAAAGTAAACTCACTTGGTTTCCTTTTAAAACCATCAGAACCACACCCATTACTCCATGAATGGATCAATCCATTTACAAGGGCATAGTTCTCAGAATTTAATCACCTCTTCAAGGCCCCACCTTTCAATTACCATAATAGGACTTCCCACCCTTAACACTGTTATAGTAGGGGTTAAGTTTCTAATACATAAAATTTGGGGGGATACATTCAACCCATATCAGGTACCAAGAACAGGAAGCAGTGAAGATAAAGAAAAAGTGATACTTTATATAACAACCACATCTCTGTGTTAAATACTTCCCACCCCCTACCCCAGAGGAAGAACTTCTCTTCGGTATGAATTTTATGCACGTAAACAGAGGCACAATTGATGGCAGATAAAGAGCTGGTAGAATAGTTATTAGAAAAGTAAATTCTAGCACTTAGTGAAGTGTTTTAAGTCAGGACTAAAGAAAATAACCAGAAATTTAATAAAGGCATATAGTTATACAATTTCTATTACTAAATGTTAGCTACATATTAAGAATTTGCTTATAACTAAAAATAGCCAATTTCAAGTTAAAACTAACATGTGGCTCACTTGGGAGAGTGCGGCACTGGTAGCGCCAAGGCCGCAGGTTTGGATCCTATATAGGGATGGCCAGTGCACTCACTGGCTGAGTGTGGTGCAGACCACACCATGCCGAGGGTTGCGATCCCCTTACCGGTCCAAAAAAAAAAAAAAAAGCTAACATGTGAATGTTAATTTTAAACTTGATTACATTCAATCTTTTTTTATATAGTGTAATGAACAATTATGCAGTTATTAACTTTGAGAATATACGGATAGGTAATTAGCTGTGTTCTAGATCAGTGTTTTTCAAACATGGGTTGCAGCCTATTTGTGTGGTAGAATCAATTTAGGGTGTTGCAACCAGCATTATGAAAAAAAATGAAAGACAATGGAAAATAGAGTGCATCGTCTCAGAGTAAGTATTGTTTCGTGAAATGTCTATTTCATTTTTTATGAATGAAGGTGTATAGCGGGTCATAATATAAAATGCCTTTCTTATTGTGGGTCATGATCAAAAATGTTTGAAAGTCACTTGTATTAGTCCATTTCTGTTGCTTATAACAGAATAACTGAAACTGGGTAATTTATAAAGAAACAAAATTTATTTCTCGTGGTTTGGGGCTGGGAAGTCCAAGTCTGGTAAGACCCTTCTTCTTGGTGGTGACTCTACCAGCAATACAGGGTGTCACATGACAAGAATAGGCTGAGCAAGAGAGCAAACTTTCTCACTCTCCTTATAAAGCCATCAGAACCACACCCATGACAACCCATTAAACCATCAACCCAATTACCCTATGAATGGATCGATCCATTCATGAGGGCACAGTTCTCAAGATCCAGTCACCTCTTAAAGGCACCGCCTTCCACCCCCATATTGAAGGTTAGTTCCAACATGAGCTTAGGGGGACATTCAAACCACAGCACCACTTTTAGAAGAATATGGTGAAAAGACTGTCATAGCTTAGTACCAATAAATATGAGTGACTATTTTTTGAATAACCCATACAGCTGCTTTTCAGAGTTTCTGACTTTGTGAGGTATTCCTTTTGTAGGTGTGAAGAAAACAAATCTCGGAGCAAGGATGATTATCAAGCTGCAGTAGAAAGGTTAATTATGGCTGCTCATATATCGGATCCAAAGCTTTTCATTAAGCACATGACCATCAATGTTAATAAGGAACAAGTTTATAATCTGGAACATTGTTCTGCCCTGAAATGGTTGACAGAGAATATGAAGTGGGCTGGAAAGGTTTGGCTTTTCAGTAACCATTAGTTAATAAAAACTTTTTTTTAAGTTCACGTAATCATTGTTGAAAATAAGTCAATAAAAATAAAGTTTTCACTAGATTCAGCTTTTGCACTTTGACTTACAGTAAGTTGTAATACATAGCTTTCAAGAACTAAAAACTTGTATTAATGTATGCAATTTGAAATGGTTTTATCCACACCGAGAAATGATTTTTCAAGTCACTTTTTGACTTTAATTTAGGAGAATCTATGGTAAATCCCTATTTATTATGAAATCCAAGCAATGAAAAACCACAAACTGAGTATTGTGCATCATTTAATGAGAGAAAGAGATAAGAAAGGAAATATGCAGGCAGGTAACTGGAATTTCAGAAAAAGCTTTGAGGATATGAAATAGGTTTAGTGTGTACTCAGTCCAGTCTCAAACTATTTTATGTCTGTAATTGAGAAAAGTAAAATAATACTGAAAAATGAGTCAAACATTAAAATTTCAGAGTACTTTCTGAATCATACCAAGAAACTTTAAATTACCTTCAGAATAGTTTTCCTTGTATCTTGGAGTACCATAGTATTCCAAGTGTATTCAATAGTGTATCTTGGAATACTGTATTTTTGAAAATTTGTAATTTATGTATGTTATATTAGGTATGACTAAAGAAAACAATATTTTAAATATACCAGAACTTAAATACCTAAACAAGGATTGTTCCTTTCAAACCACCTTAGGAAGTTAAAACTCTTCTGAAGTCATTTTCAGAATCTGTCATACGTTCTCCAAGGTAGTAATCCTCATCTTTAATTTGATATTTTAGACCATAATTTAAAATCATTTAGAGAAAAATGTCTGAATAAGGTGAGTGATAAAAGAGTAACTTGTGATTAAGGGCACCAAAAGTATTTGGGGGGGGGGAGTTCTCAAAATATGGTAATGGCTGCATCATTGGAATAAGTCTGTAACCTCACAAGCCCAGGAAAGTTAAATCCTAGCACTTAGCAGAATGCCTTATGACTGTGGATGAAATGTGAAATGAATACTATCACAAATGAGTTATGGGAAGTGAGGCAGAAGGAGACGTCAAGAAAGATGCCCAGTCCTTTAATATGAATGAACTGGGTGACCATAACTGTCATTACTTGAGTGGGGCACCTAATGGATTAGGTTTGGAGATCAATTTGAGGCCTCAGCTTGAGGTGCCTTTGAGCTCAAATGGAGAATTATAAATAAGAGGACAATTAGAAATTTTCTACAAATGGAAACGGAAACACTGAGAAAGAAATTAAAGAAATATGAGACCATTAAAATGCTGGTTACGAGATGTATTAGAGAAGTTGAAGATGCAAGGGAGAAGGGCTAAGTTAAGCTTTTAGGAAAAATGGGATTGGATGGAATGTATCACACGTGACCGAACTGGTTTCTGACAAAAAGTCGCCAGCCTTAACACTGGAACATTTAGAGGCATTGTTTGCCTGTCATCAGCGCCGAAGGGTAGAACAGGGAAAAGAATAGTTATTGTATTTGCCTAATTTCATCTGTGGCAGTTTCTCGGGGGAAATCAAAGTTCTGTAATGGTAGTGGATTGAATTATGTCTCCCCCAAATTCCCTGAAGCTTGAATTGTGTCCCCCAAGTTTTATGTATTAGAAACAGCCCGCACTGTGACTGTTAAGAGGGTGGGAAATTCTATTACGGTAATTGAAAGGTGGAGCCTTGAAGAGGTGATTGGATTGTAGGACCTTGCAGTAGTGAATGGATAAAAAATGATGGTCAGGGGCGTGGTTCTGAGGGCTTTACAAGAAGAGGAGAGTCTGCCTTTTACTGTTTCCACCGTCTGCAATGTGAGACCCCTGGGTCACTTGCCGCCACCAAATGGACTTTGGACTTCCCAGCCTCAGAAACTAAGCAATAAATTTTGTTTTTCTTTATAAATCACCCAGTCTCAGGTGTTTTGTTAAAAGCAACATCAACAGAACAATACAGAAAATTGCCTAGTACTGAAAAGCCCACGCTGACAGTGGAGAAGGCTTAACGCGAAAAATAGCCAGATATTGAAGGGGCCTACGTCAAGGAAAATGCAAACTGGTGGAAAGAAATGTTTAAACGTTAGGTTTACTAATGTAAGGACAACCAGTGGCGATACTCCAATGATACATTTAAAGTCTAGGGCTCTCGACTGAGCCAGGCTAGGGCCTCTGCTCCGTAAACTCGGCATAGCCTCGCCCCCTCCCAGGGCTGCCGGGGGCAGGGAAGCGGGGGACGGCCCAGCGCATGCGCCTGTACTCCAGACGCTTCCAGCACCTCGCAGGAGCCCGCGCGTCCTGGGTCCCCTTGGTGCCCCGCCCTTCCACCGACCCTCTGGCCAGGCCCCACCACCTGCTGGTCAATCATTTTCAGACTCCCTCTGGCCCGGTCCTACACATCTCGGAGTGCTCACTCGCACCTCCTTAAAGCTTTCAGCGGAGAGCGTGGAGCCCTTCAGTGCGGCGGGTAAGAGGGCGGAGGGGCGCGGGTCAGGCGCAGCGGTGGCCCCGGGCCCGGAAGTCCGCGCGGGTCACGGTGCCGCTGATGGTTCAACCCACGCCTCTGGCTGCGCGCAGGCGCTCTTTGGAGGAAGGCCCGGCATGCCCCAGCCAATGGGCGCGCGACCTGCGGCCCGTCTCCCTGCCCGGGTTCACCTCGAGTGACCAGCCGCCGCCGCGGCAGGCACGGGTGAGGAGAGGTTGTGGGGCAGAGCCCTGCGCGCCTAGCTGAGACTTCAGGGGCGGGAACTTCTCAGAGAGCACCGCGGGTAGGAGCCCGTCCAAGCCAGCAGCCAGGTGGAGCGAGGGCAGGTGGGAGCGACGGGCCCAGCGGCGCACAGTTGGTTGGCTGGGCTGGCGCTGCGCATGCGCCCGCGCAGCCCTGCGTGAGGAGCGAGCGTCCTGGTGCTAGGTGGGAGGTGGAACAGGTCAGACAAAGCCCTGGCGTCGGGACCTGCCGGAACCGTAAGGAGGGGAGGGGCTCCGTGGTGCATTCAGGCTCCTCTGAGGGGTGAGAGGGAGGTCGGAGGAGATCCCTCGGAGCCACCCTAGCGCGACGTGCTAACTTGTGAACTGAGGCAGTGCCAGGGGCCGGAGTATCCGCATCCCGTCTACTTTAACTCGCTTTGAAATGAGGACGCAAGGACGATTTAGGTTTTGTTTTCCACTGTAATTATTTTCCCGAAGTCTTTGACTTGCAGGAAATTGTTATGGTTAAATCTCGTAGCAAGAGATTTAAAAAAGGAAGCTAGAGAATCTAGGTTAACTTATCTAATAGGATTTCCTGCTTCTCCTCTTTTTGTTTGCCTTTTTCCCTGCAGTATTCAACTGAAAAGCAATGAAAAATTGTCTGCTTTTATTCCTCCTTGGTGGAACAAACTGCTTTCAAAAACCTTGCAAGATCACAGTTGAAATGAGAGTAGCATTAACTTTGTTAAAATAAGTTACTGTCAAATAAAAATTGTGCCAAATGACCGAAGCTCAATCCTGGGACCTCTACTTGGTAAACACTGTTAGTTACTCTTTCTGTATCTATCGAAAGTAATTTAAACAAAACAGTTTTTCTTATATGTGTACTAAGCCATAGTTAGGGTGTTTTCACCAACTTTGACATATTTCCACCAAATTTACTTTGAAACTGCACAGAAGATTTAATGCCTCACTTAGTACACAATTTAGGTTAAAATTAGAAGTTTTCATTTCATGAAATAGAAGCCTATATCACTATTAACTTGATTAAAATCATTTGCAGTCGTTTGTAAATGAATTGTATCCTTCCACATCCTCCACCAACCACCCCAGTCCACGGAGGACACCATCTCCTGGGACAAGACCTTCCAGAACTCCCTCCCCACCCCATTCTAGGTGTAGCACCTGGGAGTTTCCCATAATATTCAGTGCATATCTGTATCATTGCATTTAGTGCGTTGTTTCATAATTATCTACTTGTGTTTGTTTTTCTACTCCTCCCTCCCTCTCTTCTAGACTATATGTTTTTTGAGGGCTGGAATTGTCTCAATGTTTTCCTTTTCCACATAAGTATTTGGTTAATGCCTTTTGATGAATGGGTGATTTAAGGATCCAGAATGTTTCCCATGTCTGAAGGTTACAGTGTAACCTCTTTAGTTATTTTGTAGCATGCCTAAGGCCTTTTCCAAATGGAAGAATAACAGGCTAAATGGAATATGGACAGGAACCACCCATGTAAGAGTTTAATCGGGAGACAAGAAGCCTGTTGATGAGGGGGTGCCCCAGACTTTTGGAGATAGTGTCACTAGCAAGTGAGAGCACCGAACTCTGTGCTGAAGCAGTGTATCTTCAATCTGCTGATAGTAATTTGATTTTCTGTGTAGCTAGTCCCATAAGAGAAAGAACAGTAGATCTGGATATTTTAGTCTTCTCAGCAGTTATATTTCTCAAAATAAATTAAAAAGTTAACATTCTAGTTATCATTAAGCCCCTTCTGATTTAGTTTCCCAGGACCTGCTTTCTTCTACCTGAAGTAACATTGGGCTCTTGGTCTTGCGAAGTTGGGAACTAACCCAAGATCTGTGCTTTATGATAAGGCAAGCAGCCATGCCTGCCAACCTACTGGACTCTAGCATTGTCTACACTTAGAATTTTATTTTTTTAATTTCAAAAGTAGGTAAACCATACAGGAAACAAAGAACTAGTTCAAGCAAAAACTTAAATCCTCATTTGATTGTTGGCTTAGGGTTGAGTTTCTAATGATCTTTCCATAAATTTGTATTAAACAAGTATTTTTAAAGAGTTAAAATTTTAAAGTTTTCTAAGAGACACCTCAGAATCCTCTGTGGTGATAAAGTCAGAAGGATTCCCTAAAGCAGTGGTTCTCAAACTCGGGCATGCATTAGAATCCCCTGAGAGTATGTGAAAATACAGGTTCCTGGACCCCACTCAGTTTCTGATTCTGCAGGACTGGGGTGGGCCTGATAATTTGTATTTCCAACAGGTTCTCGGTGATGCTATTGCTGCTTTGAGAACCACTGCCGAAAGAGTTGTTTGTTTTCTTTCTTCCTTTCTCCCTTTTCTCTTTTCCA